CAGACCCCTGCCCCTGCTACTCTGTCCCTTGAAGTGTTTGTATTCAGGAAACTTCCTAGCTTTGGTCTAGTCCCGTTGTGCTGATTTCCCCTGTAGTGTGTGCTGTCCTTCCCTTCACTTAATTCCTGTCTACTGTCTAGTTAGTGAATACCCCTCTCCCTCCCTCCCCACCCTCATAACCATCAAGAATGTTTTCTTCTGTGTTTAAACCTTTTCTTGAGTACTTATAATAGTGGTCTTATACAATATTTGTCCTCCTGTGACTGACTAAATTCACTCAACATAATGCCCTCCGGATTCCTCCATGTTATGTTTCACGGCTTCATCGTTGCTCTTTATCATTGCGTAGTATTCCATTGTGTGAATATACCCTAATTTGTTTATCCATTTGTCTGTTGATGGGCACTTTTTCCTATATTCTGAAAGAAGTCAGGGGCCACTTTATTTTTCAGTGGGGGGACCACTTTCATAATAAAAATCGTATTATTTTAAGGCCAGCATTCATATGCTGTTTTAGGAGTTTATGAATTGGTGTTTCCTTTAAATTTTAATGTGAAAACAAGCGGAGAGTCTGCACTGTTCTGAAGCTTGTCATTACATCTTATAAAATACATTCCTATAAGGAGGAAATGCCTTTAGCTGTGGTCTGATCTTTGGGGCAGGTGCAGTGAGAGCAAGTCCCACGATGCGAATGAATGCAGCCAGCTCCTAACTGCTGCCCACGTGCTGCCGGCGACTTATCCATTCACAGTTTCTGGCCAAAAGTGAATTAATAATGACAGGCTCGTGCCTTTTGGTCTCCACAACGTGAACAGCAACAGCCAAATCCGAAGACACACCCACTTAGCCCTCCTGGCCAGCTGGGAAGGAAAGCTGATGGGGGCAGAGCTGTGGGGTGAGTTCAACAGGTACCACACGTCTGCCGCTCAGACACCCCAGAGAGGAATACACCGGACGGACCACGGGTTAATCGTGTGAAATCTGAACATTCTCAATACTCCGCAGTAACCCTAACTCGTAGGGGTGTCTCAGAAGATGGGCTCAAGGATTCAAGGAGGATTCAACGGGAAACAAGGGTTTCTTCGGAGAGACAAAGCTCCATCCTGACAAACGGAGATTTCGTCCTTGTAGATGGGGACGCAAACGCCGACAATGGGGGCAGCCAGGGGTAAGGCCCCGTTTGGGGACAGAAGGGCACAGGCCTTTGCGCGGAAAGTGGGGGCGGCCTGGGCTGCAGCGAGGGTCTTGTGAGGACTGGAAGTGAGTCCAGCTTCCTCCTCCGGAAGCCGAAGTCCTGGTCTCAGCCCCTACCTCTGCGGGCGGAGACAAAGGCTGTCGCTCACCGACTGGGGAGGGGGAAGTGAGGAGATGGAGTGGGGCTGTTGCCCAGGCAACAAGGTGGGGGAGGGCGACTAAGTTCTGTCTCCATAGCGACTGTGGCTGCTGGACATCAACGTTATTAATGTTGGGCGCACCTTGACGACGGCCAAGGTCCATAGGAGCCAACGTGTAAAGGTAGGAGCCCCTGCCCTGACCCGACCTCCCCCAAACCTCATAATCCTGGGACTCGCCCCATCCCCGGCCCTAGAATGTTCCGCATGGGTGAAGGGGAGGAGCTGAGTTGGGGGAGTGGGGAGAAGGCGGTGCCCTCACGCGTGCCTGTGCCCCAGGCTCCAACCCATGGCGCCCAAGAAAAAGCGCGGGCTGAGCGCCGGGCGCCGGCCGGGCACCTCGGGCGAGAGCGCAGAGCCGCTGTCGGAGCGCGCGCTGTACCTGCAGCGCGAATACGCGCTGCTCACGGAGCAGCTGGACGCCTGCGAGGAGCGCGTGGACCACGTGCTGCAGGAGAACGCCTTCCTGGACCGCGAGGCGTTGCGCTTGCGCGAGGAGAACCGGCTCTATGCCAGCTACGTGAGCGCGCGCGCCCAGCGCTGCGCCAACGCCATCGTGGGGCTGGACGAGCAGAACCGAATGGACCTGGCGCAGATCCACTGGCAGCGGACCGAGCTGGCCACGCTCTACCACGGGCGCGAGGACGGCGTGCGCGCGCAGTTGCTGGAGATGGAGGCGCGCGCGGCGCAGATGGCACGTCAGGTGCAGGAGCTGCAGCCCTATAAGGCCAGTGCGCGCGCCCGAGGGAGGGCGGGGGCAGGTCTTCCTCCCCCACCCTCCGCTGACCCGCTCCGCCCGTCCGCCGCAGGAGCTGCAGCTGGAGCAGCTGGCGCGGATCCGGGCGCTGGAGCGCGAGCTCCTGCACATGCGCGTGGAACACACGCAGCTGCTGCACCGCGTGAAGCGGCGCTTCCTGGACGACAAGGCGACCTTCGAGCGCGAGGCGCGCCAGCGTGTGCAGTCCCTGGCGCGTCGCGCTGAGCGGGAGGCGGCGCGCGCGCTCATCGTGCACACGCAGTCCATCAAGGCGGACAACGGGCGCCTGCGGCAGGAGTTGCTGCGGCTGCTCCGCCGGGCCCAGCTGCTGCATGACACGCGGCGCCAGCTGTTGGAGCAGCGCGAGCAGCTGCGGCGGGAGCACGAGGACACGCGGAACCTGGCGCGCGTGCATGGCTGGCTGCGCCGGGGCCCCGGGGGCCCGCCGCTGTGGCAACCGCCAACCACTTCCGCCCGGCCCAGCTCGCGGCCCGGGTCCCTTGCAGCCTTCATAGGCACGTCGCGCGCGGGCTCTCGGGCCCAGTCAATGGTCCCTTCGCGGGTGGGCTCCCGACTCCAGTCCCGACCCCTGTCGCGCCCGGTCTCCCGGATCCAGTCGCGCGCAGGCTCGCGGACCGCGTCCCTGGTCCCGTTGCACACGGGCTCGCGGGCTCCGTCCCTGGTGCTGTCGCGCGCGGGCTCCCAGGCTCCGTCCCTGGCGCTGTCGCACAAGAGCTCCCGGAGTTCTTCGCGGCCCTCTTCGGGCGCGGCTTCCCAGGATGCCAGCTCTTCAGAGGAGTCCCGCCACAAGTTTCCCTCGAGTTTGTCCCGGGCTCTGGCTCCGCGCTCCCCACCGTCCAAGGAGACCGTGAACACCGACGCTGCCTCAGAAGCCGCCTCGGGGAGAACCTGAGCCGACGGGGAGTGCCAGCGAGGCACTGGTGGGGTGGCAACGCAGGACGCCCATCTGGTGAGGGCGGTTGTTAATAAAGGTGTGGCCCTCATTGCCTGGGCACCTGTCTCATTCGCTGCTCTAGCATTTCCGGCCGGCGGGGGCCACGACCTCGGACTTCCAATTTCCAAGCTGCGAGATGGCTTCACGCCCCTTTTGCCGTTTGTCCGCTACGATTCAGCATCCCTCCATTCAGCAGCTGACCACAGCTGACCTCCTGCCGTGTGCCAGCCGGCGGAGGAGCCAGCGCCGCCAGTGGAGCGCCCTGGAGGAGTTTTCAGCCAGTGGCATCGAGAGATGGTAAGTGCAGGAAAGGAGACCAGAGGGGCGGGCAGCGGCTGGACAAGGCCTCGCTGTGACTGCGGGGGCCAGCCTGGTTCCAGGCAGTCAGAGGGGACGGCGGGCCTTCGGGAAGGAGTATGAGCTGTGTGCCCGGCGCCATGGGGAGCCAGGGTTTTTTTTTTTAACTCATTATTTTAATTTTGGTATAATTTCCAATCTAGAGGAAAGTTACAAGGATAGTACAAGGTACTCCCAGATACCATTTACCCAGAATCTCCAAAAACCCCGTTTGTTTTGTCTCTGTATCTGTGTATGAATGTTTTCTCAACCACCTGGCGGTAGGTTTGAGACACGTTGCCCCTCTCCGCTAAATACTTAAGTGTGTATTTCCAAGAGCAAACCCTCGCCTACATTACTGCGGGACAATCACCAAAATCAGGACATTTAGCACGGAGAAAGAGTGGTATTTAATCCAGAGCTCACACTGTGTCCATTCTGTCTTCGAGGCTGCCCCTCCCAGGATCACGCGCTGCGTGTAGCCGTCCTGCCGGCCAGTGTACAGGCCAGTTGTTAAAAACGTCTCTCAATGGAGGTTTCTGTTTATCAGCTATCTGTGAGGTCCAGCGGCTTGCACGTGCGGCACCATGACTGCTGATCCGGGGCAGTGGGAAGGTCATTAAAAACGTGAGGTTGCTTTGGCCCCTGGACTAGAGCGCAGCGTGCCAGAGGTCCGACCAGCGGGTAGAGTGGCCGGCAGCACTTCCGGTCCTTGCCGCCATTTCCACCTCCCGGGCTGGGGTCCTGGGCTGGGGTCCTAGGCTGGGCCCGAGGGGCCCGGGAGGCCTTGGCTGATGAGGCGGAGGGAGCGCAGGGAGGGCGAGGCGCTAGGGTTCAGAAGTTGGGTTTGGGCTCTGTGGGACACTTGAGAGAGCTGCCCGGGAGGCAGCAAGCGTGTTCTCTTTGGAAGGTGTGGGCATGGAAGGTGTAGGTTTGGACTCAGTACACCCGAGCTGGACAGCACACGGACAATGCTGGTGACCTGGGGGAAGGTGTGGCATTCCTTAGAGATCCGCAACACTGGCAGCAAGTCACACCTGGAGCGGTGGTCAGGCGGAGTGACCCTTGCATGTGTCCATATTAAAGGACTATTGGGACTGGGGGGGATAGAGAACGGGGGGCAAAATCTGGGACCCCATGGAGGGAGGAGTCCAGATCAGAGGTTTAAAATAAAGCTCTTACACATTAAGGGCAGCAAGAGGAGTGAGCTGGCTATGTCTGGGCCCTGAACACACCTTACCTGTGTGCCTGGTCCCCGCCCTCCCCCCAAACTGAAATTAAATCTATAATGGTAGTTCTAGGTACCCAGCAGAAGTAAACACAGATCCTCTTTGGAAGACTTCACTCCAGGACCAGGTCTTCAAAATTTCCCATAACCATTTCCCATTAAAAGAAATCAGGATGGGAGTGTTTGCTTAGGGGGCGTTATGTTATGGTTGTGGGATGATTTGATGCACAGCTTGAATGGAATCAGTCACTGGATTGTATATGTAAAAATTGTTGAGATGGTGTATGTTAAGTATATTTTCACCACAATAAAAATGAACAAAAAATACTAGGGCTCCTTTGAGATCTGGGGAAGGACGTGTGCCAGAAAGCGAGGTGCGCCCAGAGACCTGTCAGGAAGGCCCAGCCAGAAGCACAGGCAAGCAACATTGAAGGGAGTGGCCAAAAATTCAATACTTTAAGCATCAAAAAGATGAATGACTGCACTGAATGGAAATACATCAAATATGTAAAATACATGGTTCAAAATCATATAAAACCCGCCTCATTGGTCATTGGAAGCTGTTAGTGCAATAACTCAGTATTCTAAAATTTGGTAGATGATGACTCATCCATTCTGCCTTCTATGAACTGTACTTCCGGATAAACAAATGGTTGGTGAGGGGTGGCTAAGTAGAGAATTCTAGTCTGTGGATGCAGAAGTAACGGCAGAATTAGAAGTCTATGCGAAAGCCTTGTGGGTAGAAGACTGGTGAGGAACTTTATTCTGGATAGATCCAACTGACACTGAACCCACGAATGGACCCTAACATCGCTAAAGAATGAGACATTAAGTGCCTCCTGGGACAATCCTAGAGAATTGGCCCAGTGCAAGCTATGATAACCATCTTGATTCAAAGCAAAACTCCTATTGCCAGTATATATGAAATAGAAGACACAGTGGGGAGACAGCCAAATCCTCTATATGGCAGACGGCCCAGGTTTTTCCAACAAATGTCAAGGAAAAAAAATGGGGAAATGCTTCTGATGAACAGAGTCTTAAGACACATTTCAACTATATGCAGTGTGTGGATCTTGTCCAAACCCTGTGATCTGAGGTGTTAAGCGTTCCTTGGGGAGTATGAAGCTAAGAAATGCCAGTGTACCTCACTCTTTCTCTTCTAGGGCACTCTTTCTAGTGGCTGACACCCCCATCCTCACTGCCTAGACACCCCTCTCCTCAGGACCTCCCCAGACTACTGCCTTCCTTGCGACATTCCCCACCTGAGGATGCCTTTGTCAGTTTCTCCTTGTGGTTCTGGCCTTTGGGGGGGGAGGCATCAGGGGTGCATTCTTCTATTATTTCTCATTTTTTTCTTTATACATTTTGAAGCCATTATTAGTGACTTCATTATTAGCACTAGCTCCGCTGTGAATTGAACTTTGTATCAATGTGCAGACTCCTCTTACCCTCTGCCAATGGCTTGTCTGTGCACTCTGGTTGCTCCAGCGTTCCTTCCGTTTGTCTTTGGCGTGCACAGCCCTTTCTGTGGGCGTCAGCCTTACATCTGAAACAGCCTGGATGGATCTTGTTTTTTTAAATAAAATGGATTATATTTTTAAAAATCCAATCTGACAACGTTTGTCTTTTAACTGAAGCGTTTAGTTATTTTACATTGATTGCCTAGCAGTAAACCCTGGTGGCTGGTTAAGAGCTCGGCTGCTAACCAAAAAGGTCAGCAGTGTGAATCCACCAGCCGTTCCCTGGAAACCCTATAGGGCAGTTCTACTCTGTCTATAGGGCCACTTTGAGTTGGGATTGACTCGACAGCAATGTTTTTTTGGTGTGTTTTTTTTTTTTAAATCAGTATTATTACCATCTTTTTTAAAAAATACTTCCTGTATTTTTCTTTTCCCATGTCTTCAGCTGAACCTTCCCCCTCCCCATTCATACGTTTGTCCACTTGGATGGAAATCATACTCTTTTCTCCTCTGTTACCGGTACCCGTGCAATGTTAACACGCACATTTAAACTCACAAATTACACAGTATCCTTAGCCTCCTCCTGAGCCCTGGAGGTGCTCAGAGGCACTGGGTTTCCATCACACCCTTCCCACCCTAGAGCCCGCAGACAGCAAGCTTCAGTTCTGCCAAGACTTCTTTTTTAAGACTGGTTTTTAGAGCAGTTTCAGGTTACAGAGAAACTGTGCCCCCACCCTTTCCTACCGTTAACACCTTGCATTCCCGTGGAGCACGCGATGCAGCTGATCGGCCACTACGGACGCATGATTATGAACTCATTCCGCCGTTCACATTAGGGTCTGCACTGTGCCTGCCTTGGCTTCTGAAGCCACATATGAGACAATATTATTTGGGGACAGTCACTCACCTGTACACTGACCACTGGGGACACATCTGCATGTGTGTTACGCTTCAATAAAAACTTTACTTTTAAAAAGACGGCTTGGTTGGATGATAGTCCCGGATTCCTCCCGCACACTTCCGGGCTGCTCCACTGAACAGGCTGCTGAAGCACAGGCCCCGTGTCGCCTCCCCGCCCAGGCCTGAGAGCTGTGAGGGTAGCTGCAGTGGGCCTGGGTCCCACCCCACGCTGGGGCATGGCTGCCACCTGCAGCCCGTGGATCCACCCCAGCAGTGGAGAGGGTGGGGATACCCCCAAGTGTGCACCTCCAGTAAGGGCCTCCCCTCAGAATGGCACCCTTCCTCCTAACACCTACTGAGGCCCTCCCTGCCCTCCCACTCCTCTGCTGCCCCCACCCTGTCCCCCTTCTTCACTCCCAATGCCAACCCACAGCCCCTCCCCAGGGCCGGTCTAGAGGGCAGCGACCAGAACTAGCCACACGCTGTCCCCTCCCAAAGGTACCGCTGACCCCAGGCCCGCTTCCAGTCACCTCAGCAGGTGTGGGCTGGACACAAAGGGCCAGGGGACCATGTGGAGGCCCCCTGGGGGCTGTGACGAAGTGGGTGCGGGGCGGGCCATGAGGGGGGCACCAGTGAGGGGAGGTGGGCTGGGTGTGCCTTCATCTGCAGGGGTTTTCTGATTTCCCTTTGACCCGTTTAAGAGGTTGTCGGTTAATTAACCACGTTTGTGAATCTTCCAGTTTTCCTTCCATTATTGTTTGTGGTCGGGACAGACACTTGGTATGATTTCAGTCTTTTCAAATGTATTAAGACTTGTTTTGTGCTGAGATACTTCATTTTTGGTTCCAGGGAGTAGCTGACCAGATGGTCCATCCAGAAAGAGGGCTGTGAAACCAGCAGCTGGCCTCTCGCATGACTTTCTGTGTCTCAGCAACATGAAACTGGACCAAAGCTTTCTCATCTGGAGGCAGGTGTTCGGGTATCTGGTTAACCATGACAATGTGATACTTATTTCCCTTCCCTTGCAGCCTTCGTTTTTACAAGAATTATCTCATTTAAATAATTAAAAAATTATCACTGTTGTTGTTGTTAGATGCCATCGAGTCAGTTCCGACTCACACTGACCCAACGAACAAAATGGAACCCTGCCCAGTCCCGCACCATCTTCACGATCCTTGCTGTCTTGAGCCCACTGCTGCAGCCGCTGTGTCAGTCCTCCTCCTAACACCTACTTTCCCAAGTGACCCTCTACTTTCCCAAGCATGAAGTCCTTCTGCAGGAACCGGTCCCTCCTGATAACATGTCTAAAGTATGGGAGACAAAGTCTCACCATCCTCGCTTCTGAAGAGCATTCTGGCTGTACTTCTTCCAAGATAGATTTGTTACTTCTTCTGGCAGTCCATGGTATATTCAATATTCTTCACCAACACCATAACTCACAGCCATCAATTCTTCTTTGGTCTTCCTTATTCATTGCCCAGCTTCCACATGCATATGAGGCAACCGAAAACACCACGGCTTGGGTCAGGCGCACCTTAGTCCTCAAAGTGACATCTTTGCTTTTTAACACTTTAAAGAGGACTTTTGCAGCAGATTTGCCCAAAGCAATGCATCATTTGATTTCTTGACTGCTGCTTCCATGGGCATTGATTATGGATACCAGTAAAATGAAATCCCTGACAACTTCAATCTTTTCTCCGTTTATCACGTTGCTCAT